TTAGGTTCCTGGAAGAGTGACACTTGCTGTAGACAATATTCTTTTTATTATTTTGAAATACTGTCTATGAACTCAGTTATTCTATCATGCTGACTTCCACAAATTTCCAGTTAATATTTATGAAGATTCCTGCAATTACGAGGGGAAAATAAGGGTATGAACTACAATAAAACATATGTAAGTATATTTTAAGTATGTTTTAAGAATGTGATAAATAAAATAACCTGGACTGAGAGTAAAGATATTTCACATTTTTATAGGAATTGGTGACAAATTAAATCCTTTGTCAGCAAACACTGAACTTTTTGCTTACATATGTGAAAAAGGCTTAATATTATTAGAAAGTATATTTTTTAATTTTGTCTTGAGATGGGGTCTTCCTATGTTGCCTGGGATAGCTCCAAACCCCTGTGCTCAATGATCCTCCTGTCTCAGTATCCTGAGGAACCAGGGCAACAGGTGGCTAAAAATACAGGTGGTTTTATATAAGCTAAAGATGAATAAAAACTAGAAGCAAATAATGGCCCAACCAAGTGAAGGCTGAGCAGCACCTCATTTTGATAGGCTAAAATTAGAGGTTTAAAAAAAAATCACCAAAAAATCAATACTAAGTTATTTAAGTTTTTCCCCAAAGAATCGTAAAATCAAAGAAGATCTCTACTGGTTAAGAGAAACTATTTAAAATGATCATGGACATGTCTTTTATTTTATAGCTAAACTTTTTCTCTTGAATTTTTTCAGAAAAACCCATAATGTCTATGATCATCAAAATGAACTAGGCTAAGATTTATTTAGTTGGATTCATTGTTTTAGATTAATTGGTTGGAAAGAGCTTATTGAAATGAAATTAATCTCTTAAAGACATAACTTTCCTGTGTTCATATGAGTATCTCACCAGTGAAATTCCATATCTACAACCACAAGAATGGGATCCTAATTATATTCCATGCATGTATAATGTCAAAATACACTCTCCTGTCATGTATATCTAAAGAACAAATAAAAATGAAATTAATCTCTTGATAAGGATGATGCTAATGTTAAAGGATATACTATTATGTATACATGTATTCATTTAGGGAAGCTGGAGGAAACTGCGTATTTGAGAATGGGCAAGAGGCAGCAATGTGCATTTGGAGCAACTCGCAGATTCCAACTACAGAAGAAGAGGAAGAGAAAAAGCAAAGGGAATGAACAATGGCGATGATAAGTGGGGTCTGTGGGGGGTGGTCATGAAGCCTGATCATTTATCACATGAAATATTGGGTTGAGCTGAGGTTGAGTAATGTTGGACACTCCAAAGGCCCTACCCTCACTCCCTGAACCTTGGGGTAATCTTTAGACATTACCATTAATTATTTAGACTCAGAAGGCTGCAAAAACATCTTGATTCATTGGCAAAGTGACAAGCATATGGTGTGTTTTGCAAACCCCTAGCTTTCTGTTGCGAGGAGGCTAACATTAATTTCTTACAAATCCTACAGGGACTTTCCAAGCCAGCCGTTGTTAACATAGTTCAACATCAAAGTTGGAGAGCTTGGAGTAGTTCTGAAAAATAAGTTAGATACAAATGAGTAGCTTTATACAGGCTGGTGACAAGAAAGCTTCGGAGGCACCATAGCTTTCCTGCAAGGAGCGACAGAGTGTGGGACAGCTTTGCAGCTTGATTGATAGTCAAGGTGGCAGACCTCTTTAGTGGGTCCTACAGGATGGTGCTCAGAATCTGGTGTCTCCTGCAGGGCTTGGCACTCCCAAAGCCGTGATTCAGGCAAGAGTCCCAATTCAGATTCACTGAGCATGTGGCATGATTGTGATCAGGCCTTTCTTGGCTTAAGGGCGCTGAGCAGCCTGCCCTCTCTGATACACAGCTGTTGGAGGGCAACCCCTGTGGAAGTGCTAGAAGTGGGAGAGAATGAACAGGGAAAGGCTTCATTACAGAAAATGAAAGACATAAAAAGCTCCTCGTTGTCTTCAGCTCAGATACATATGGTGTTTGGACTCCTTATCACAGGGCCTCAAATTTAAGCTCCAAAGTTCACTGTATTCCAGGGGTAGATGAATATCAACTCTGTGATGGACATCTAATGACAATATTTTACTTCCTGCCCTCTTTGTTAGCTCCCACACCACCTCAAACCTCCATCTGAATGGCATGTTTTGAATTTTGGTTATGGAACAAGTTTATAGCAGGTAGTTTGCACACAAATTCTGTCTATTGTGGCAAGAAGGGCTAGCAATTATGGCACAAGCAAACAGAACTTCTCTGAGGAATTAAGAAGAAAAAAAGAGCTGTTGATAATACCAGCAAAGATAGCAAATGATATCAGCCATTCAGTTGACTCAGTAGGAAACAGAATGGGAAGGTAGAAGGAAGCAGGGTCTGTCTGGAGAGTCCATCTGTTCTTTAAGCAGCAAGGAATGAAAGAAGAGATTGTGAATAGGTCTAGAATTAACAGTGTTTGGAGAAAAAAGTGTTCTGGCAAAAGAAACTAAGATGCCCAACCTGAGCTGAAATGGTGTTTCAGATTGTTCATAGGCAATCAGACTTCTTCTACTCTAAAACCAACACACACTTTAAGAGGATAGTGGTCACCTGATCCATTTCAACCTGCTTCAGGCAAATGTACCCATAAATTATCCAAGAGACAGGATCATTAGTCATATTTTTAAAAGATCTTTCTGTCTGAAAAACTCTTATATCCAACGCATACCTTCTTGGTTACAAGTAAACCACTTTCCCCCAGTGTGCATAGGGCTGGGGAATTCATAAGATTAACCACACCCCTGTCCTCAGAAAGCCTTTTGTATACTGTGCTCCCCCTATACGATTCCAGTGTGAATATTTCTCTACAGTGCTATTTTACAAGTATGTAAGTACCTGTTAAGCATTTAAAAGTGAACTCTCCCTATATTTCATGCTCCTTCACAATGAGGGTCTCACCCTTACCCCAGAACATTCTAGGAAAGCACCAATAACATTATAGGTAAGCACCAACATACAAGATATCCACCTAACACATGACTCATCAAGCTCATTGTGCTTTATGAACTACTGTGGCATTATTGCCAAAATATTTTGATGCCATCCCCTTTGGTTCAGCCCTACATCCCTCTCATCTGTGGATGTCACCTTCCAGCTGTCTATTTCTCATCTTCAGAAACAGAAGGTACACTAGAGAATAGGGGTGGTATTTCATGTTTCCACTTAAGACCTTGGCATGCCCATCTGACAGGTGTGGGGGACTGGCTACCCCTAGTTCATGAAAGCTCACTTCCTCTTCTCTGCCTCTTGCAGGCTGCTTCACCTAATAGCCCTTTCTCAAAGAGAATCTCTTCTTCCTTTGGGACCCTGCTCAACTATAATCTCAAATCCCACTGATGGGTGTTGTCCTGAAGGTTCTCTTAACATTGAATTTACCTCAAGATCTGAGGTCTGAGGGACCAAGGCAGGAGCTTTATATAATGTTTAAAAATACTGTAGCTTAACAGACTACTTGGCACATAGGTGTTTCATAAATATTTGCCGAATTAAATACTGGATTTTGGAAGAAAAGACACTCTCTCCACATGACAGTCACTAATATCGATATTATGCCACAGGATGTCACAAGAGTGGAATTGGGCAGACCCGACACCTTCACTACTTTTCTTTCAGGATAGAGATTCTAAGTTGACCTAAATGGTTTGAGATGAAGTCTCTTCTCTCAAATGGAACTTTTAAATTGTGCCATCTACTTCTTGTTCTTCCCTTCTGGATAAAGTCAAGTGGTAGGGCAAAGGTGTCAAGGAAGGCTCTGGCCCCGGGGAGGCTAGTGGGCAAAGGTTGCAGGATAGGATGGATTCATGGCTGTTCTGAGCTGTGGAAGTGGGAGTAGCTGGTCGAGTTGCCTCCCCTCAGCTGCTCTGCAGGGTGCATATAAAATCTCGGCAAACAGTCCCTGTGTGCTTATAAAGCCTCAGGTCACTGACAATTGCAGTGCTCATTTGCTGTGGCCAATTTAGCGCTAATAAGCTAAAACTGGGCTTCAGGGATTTGTTTCCATGGCATGTAAACTCACTTTAGAAACACATTTCCCAGCCAGAGATTGCAACTTAATAGATTTTTTTTCCCCTTCTCCATTTTTGTAAACTGACTTGTAGCTCATTTTGGAAGCATTTCCCCATTAGCCAAATCACCAAGGCCATTTTTGTCAGCACCTGAACTCCACCAGGGGGCAGCTACCCAGCCAGCCACATCTGCAGAGACTGGGGCTGGAGAAACACCAGAGCCCCAGCTTTGCCCCCGGCTGGGCAGTGTGGGGATGTACCCCATCTTGCTGGGCAAACTCACTTCTGCCAAACGGAGTGGCTTTTGCATGTGTGCAGCAAACTTGGGCCACATATTGGCCCATATGGATGCTGATGCAGGACCAAGGTCAGGGGACCCATACAGGCCTTGGTGCTGCTTTCTCTGAGGACCTCTGCAGGCTGACCCCTGAAGACACCCATCTGTAGCACACTTAGTGCCTCACAGATGGCAGATACCCACCCTCTACTGGAAAGCCCCACCCCCCACGCTTTGAAAAAGCTGTGGATTATTTCAGTTCATCTTGAGCCACAAAAGTCACTCCATTTGTGACTTGGTTCTTGGTGACTTGGAACTTCAAATTCTCTTATCGTGGCAAGAGTTCCCCAAACATGGGGCCTCACAGCTCCCACATATGTGGAACAAAACAGAAAGGGGACCATATTCTACAAGCACAAATGTCCCTCTCTCCCTACATATAGTTCTGGTGGATTTAAGAGACCTCAAAGTCACACTGTGGTCACCTGTCCTGCTTAGGCCCCATGCCATCAGATTTGTCTGAAACTAGAAGTGCTGGTGTTCCTTCCATCCTCTCTTGAAGCCTGAAGACACAGAAAGGATCCTAGTTCCAACCAAAGCAACATTTTCCCAGAAATTTGGCAGGTACATGGCCTCTCTGTCCCTATGGGCCGGTTAGGGAATGCAGTCGCCTATTTGTTTGTGATATGCCAGAACCCTGTTAGGAGCTTGATCATACCTTGGAAGTTCTGCCAAAAACTTCTCTCTAGTTCTGGGCACAGGCATTTGGAGATGCCTCTGGGGCCAACTTTCTTTCATTACATTCAGCTAAAATGCAATTTGTCCTGAGGGAGAGTACAGAGAGATGGGGGATGGGGTGCCGTGGGATAAGTCACAGCTGAGAGCCCAGCTCCACATTCTCAGTTCCTGTTAGAGTGTGGCTACAAAGTGGTGATTCTTTATTACCCAGGAAATGGGTAACAGGTCCAGGGTGCAGGCTAGTCACTCATCCAAGAGCTGCAGGGATGGTGGCCTGTCACCCAGGCACTACAGTGGTCACAGAAATCTGCCCTTCTGAGGTGGTGCTGGTCCTCTAGCCTGGGAGCCAGCCTAGGACTGAAAATGTCTTCTTCCCTGGAGGAAGGTTTCATTGTGTGTTCTGTGTGTAAGAGACAGAGTGCTGTGTGTGTCTTGCTGGGATTCTTTTTATTTTTGATTGGCTTTCCTGGAAGTTGAGAGTAGAAGAGTGACTACCAGAGGCTGAGGAGGGTGGGAAGGAGGAAGAGACGGGGAGACACAGTGGCCAGCAGGTACAACATTACAGTTAAATAGAGGAACAAGTTCTGGGATTCTTCAACCACTTCCTAATCTCCTAAGTTTCATGCAAAATGCACAGATCACACTGGAATCAAATGATTTGCCGTAGACTAATTCTGGCAGGTGCTCAGCCTCTCTGTGGCCTCCACTTGAGGCCTTCTCTCATTGCCCCTCACCCACTGGGCAAAACCCAATAATTGCCAGGGCACAAGCTGCCTCCTTCTTTCCTAATGAATAATGTCAGGAACCAAATCCATCTCTGCCCGTGAAGAGCAGAGCTCACCCCAGGTACTGCTGAAAGGAAACTGGCACATACAACAAGCACCTGGTGACCAGATCCCCCTTGCCGGGGGGGGGGGGGCTGTCTTCAACCCAGCTGGGAGGCAGGCACTAGGTTGTGCAGGGATCTCTCCAACCACCCAGCAACAAAGAGGAAGGCCAAGTCCTCATGAGGGGTTTAGGGAACATGCAGTGTCTTTCTCTGATCTCCAACTGCCAGACTCGCTCGCTGTAGGCAGTGTGGTCTCATTTAAAGAAAAATAAGTCCTATTGGGCCAGAAGTTGGAAGGACTGCATGTTGTTACTCCCTGCCAATGGCCAGGGATCTATCAGTCAGGCAAATCATTTTCCACTTTTGTGTTCAGTTTTTCTCCAGTGCTGACTCTATCCCATCCCCATTCACCCCTGAAAAATGGTGGCAACAATTACTTCCTTAGGAGAATGGGGTGGAAATGGGTCACAGGGTTGGTGTATGTGGAATCCCATAAGGGAAATGGGCCACACATGTAGGTATCATCTCAGGGCAACCGGAGAGACGGGGAGATGCTGCTGCTGAGAGGTGACGAGGTGGGTGGTAGCCCTGAAAAACTTTTGGAACGAGGCTTGCTTTTGTCAAAGCCACATAGTTTTGGAGGTTCTTTGGGGGCATATTTAAAGGGGAGCATTGGCCAGATGACAAGAGCTAAGGTTGAAACGTTGGCAGCATGACATGTGGAAACACTAAGGACCTGGAAGGATGTCTATTCTGAAGGACACAAAAGTAAGTTCTTAAGCAGCAGTCCCTTCAAAATGCTTAGGAGAAGGATCAGAGTTATTTTGAGTAATTCATGACAGGTGAACATTGAAAGGAGCCAAAGTTGTTTTTTTTTTTTTTTTAAATACCCCTACAAAACTTAACGGAAGATATTTTTGACCACTAAAATTGCACAATTTTCCAATTCAGTGAAAAGGAATATGGATTGAACACTGACCATCAAATGAAACCTTGATGATCTGAGTCATAAATATACGGTTTCTGATGTTAAATCTAAACCTTCTGACAACTGTACTTAAATTACCACCTGTCTAATAACTAATCTTCATCATTATTGTTCAAGGAAATTTGCTTGAACACTCTGCAGACAATGTAATCACGGTGTTCTTTCCCACTCCCGTGTGCTTCACAATTCAAGATGCCTTTGCCCCCTCTGAATATGATATTTAGATTATACTTTAAAAACCTTGGCTTAGCCTCACTGACTTTTGCTTGCTCAATTTTTCTGATCCACTTCCCTATATATTTAGTTAGTGTTGACTGTACCTCATTGCCCCTTTGTTGATTTTAGTGGTCAGTTCTATTTATTCTGAGGAGTGCTGTGGTAGATAAGACTCAGGGGGTTGGTGTCCTAAACACAGAGGGTCATCCATGAGATTGGGCCATGTGGCCTGGGGTGAATTCTGTAGGAATCCTGACTCTTACTTTGCAGTTGTAAAATCTAAACCAGAGTATTTGTATATATTTTTCTCTTTATTTCTTTCTCTTTCTTTGGTTGCAGGGAATGAACCCAAGGGTGCTTAACCACTGAGCTATATCTCAGCTCTTATTTTTAGAGACAAGGTCTCACTAAGTTGCTTAGGGCCTCACTAAATTCTGAGGCTGGCTTTGATCCTCCTGCCTCAGCCTCCCAAGCCGCTGGGATTACCGATGTGTACTGCTACGCCTGGCTCATTTGTAACATTTCTGATTCATTTTAAGCCACCTTACGTTGATTATTTCATATTCCACAGCTACATCAGTCTCCAGCAGTTGTGGTCTCCTTTTTTTTTTCTTAATATCACCAGACCACTCGGAACATTCTAAAACGTTCGTTCTTGCCGCTGAACTTCTCTCCTATGAGCCCTCTGCTTACTTAGGATGCAGACCCAGGTCTCTTCCTGCCTGCTCTGAGCAGCATTTTAGATTCTCCACTGTGTTATTGTGTCACTATCTTATTCATTCCTCTTCTATATCCTTCCCATTTCTCTAACCCAAGGGTGTTTAGCTGGGTCTCTTCCCATGAAGAATTAAAGTGAGGAAAGCTGTAAGTAGAATGTTGCTCAAATCACTTCAGTGT